ATGCTCGAAAAAACTGAATAATGAAATTATTTTCTTAGAAAATTTTCACTAACGTCAGAGCAACCATTAATGCGAATTCTACGATCTTCCCAGTTAGATCGCTACACCAACCTGGGGGAATTATTGCCGTTATGAATAGGTTCATTTTTTGAGACGGGACGCTAAAAAGCAGTTTCTTCTATAAAACCCCATCTTTTTTTTTCGTTGTTAAGTTCCTCATTTTTTCACAATAATACTATTATTATGGAAGACGAAAACTGATAGAAGCCACAAATGTGAGTGACACTATTAATAGCTAGCATGTCATTAATATGAGTAAATGGAACAAAAATTATTGTAAAAAAGTTTTATCTGGCAGGCATTTTTCAGCATAAAAATTCAGCCACGTAATTGCTGAGAAAGTCATTGCTTTTCTTCCTGATGCTAATTATTCCTTTATTCTATAAAATATTAAAGTTCTTCTATATCCACCGTATGTTACAAGGTTTTCATTTCTACACCGTTTACGACAAAACTTTTTGTTAATTCTTCGCTTTTACCTGTTGTTGATAAAACACTGAGCAAAAGAAATAGTAGAAAATTGTGTACGATTAAAAGTGTCAGCAGAAAACTGCCAAATCATTGATGCTTTCATTCTGTTCTTTTTGAAAATTTATCATTTGTAGAATCAAACCCTTTTTTTGGTGGGTTTTAACTGCATCTTTTTCCTCAATAGAAAGCCACCACCGCCTTATTTTTGTAACTTAAACTTCACCTAAACGGTTTAAAATCGATTTCAAACCGAGATTAGGTGACACCAAATTAAGGCTCTTTATTACTTTTTGTCATTGGAAAGACATTGCTGCTCAGTTCTGTTAGCTTTTGCGCAGAAGGTACTGGAGGAATTCTAGCTCTTTGCTTAACATATCACTAATGAGCTTAAAAGACACCGCATATGATTGTAATCGTGTGCTAGTTAAGGAGAGAAAAGGAAAGAAGATGACAAATAGAAAACAAAAAATAGAGGATTGGCACGAAGTTTCTAGAAAAGAAAGAGGGAGTAGCAGAGGTGAGCCAAAGACAATTAAATGAATTCAAAATTACTGTAGCAAAACTTGTTGAAAATCTAAGTTTTTTCTGCACTTGATTATATAAAGACATGTAACAGCAAATTCAGGTTTCATCTTATGTCATGCTTAGAATCTGCTGTAATCTAAAATTTTTATTTCAATCGCTCGGTTAAGCAATATTAAATTAACTCAACAAGCAGACTGTTGTTTCTATATAAAAATTTTTCACATCAGTGGACTTCTCGTTTTTTTACTAAAAATATACTCGTAACAAACTCCGAAAAAATCTTGCAGTTTACTATACTGCTTCTAATGGTCTTACAAAAAGACGCTAATCATCGATGTGCGAATGTAAGATAGTTAGCCAGTCGGAGAAAACTGAATAGATCATTGCTGGTCAAAACAGCTTTTTTTTAAAAAGGAGCAATCTTTAATGAGGAGAGTTTTAGCAGAATTCAACTTTCAAAGAACAGTAAGTGATTCCTCCTACTTGTTCGTGTTCATTTTGGCAGTCTTAAAGTCTCTGGTGAAGTTTTATCTTTTTAGCTGTTCTTCTGTTACACTTATTCATTACCAATTTCATGTAGTTCTAACTTGGTGCTTATAGATAATTTTGTAAGAAAATAAAATTGTTTTTTTCTGAAGATGGTATTTTAAAGAAGCTAGGTGATTTAGTTATGATACTTTGCACTGAAAATGATAGAAGCGAGTGATAAAAAGAACACTGTGAATTTATGCAAGCCAAACATTTCGACCAAAAATTATTATTAATAGAATATCCACTTAGTATAAATAAGAAATAAGACACTGTAATGAGTGTACAGTAACTTCCGGTTAGCGAATGTAGAAAACAATAATGGCGGTACTGTATTCTATAACTTTTAGAACCTATTCTTGAAAATAGAAGGCTTAAAAAGTATTTATGACTGGGAAGAACTTATTTTACAATTTAAAGAGGTTCAGAAAATTTACTTGAGAAATACCGCATTGAGTATCGTAACATAGAGAAGTTGTCTTACAGAGGTGCCAAGAAAGTGAAAAAAATCATCGGCATTTTACCGACATTTAGATTATCTCAATTTACTACAAAAAGAATCGCTTTTCGTGTGTTTGAAAAGCTTTAACTAAAAAGTAATAGTCGTACAAAACAGTACTTCGTTTTTTTTCAAGAGTTGAGTTTAATGAAGTCTTTTGGTGAAAACGAAATTCATCAAGAAACTTCCCAGTTTTGAAACGATTGTACAACGCTACACCGCACAAATTCAAATTTTTTGCTCTGACTGCGCTAAAACATTTGATTTCTTACTTTCTTCGCGTTACGAAGCTGGATTAAATTATAAGTTGCCCCAATAAAGTTTTTGTTCGTTTACGTTATCTGTGCATTGTTCTAGATTTATAATCTTTCACCTCTTCACCTCTTCAACTTTCTCTGACTTTAGTTGTCCAAAAGTATTTCTTATTTATCAGAATCATCACCGTTATTTGTGTAAATAAATAATTGCCTTAAAAATAAAACCGATTTTTACGTTAGGAGCCATTTCGTACCAAGTTGTGCAGTTTTTCAATTGATATCTTTGATTACAATTTAAGTTTTGCTAAATGATAAAATATGCTTTCTAGTTTAAAACTGGGAAGTTAATCTTCAGTAGACTTTTACTCTGTTTGAATGCAAAAATTTTTTAGATTTCTATACAACCAGAAATCTTCTGTGAAATTTTGTTTTATCACTTAGAGAAACATTTTAGAATTATATGAAAGCCTAACTTTACAATTTCGTCTCTGTGCTCTGCAAGATTTCAAAGCATTCACTTCCTTTAAGAATGAAGTCCACAGATTGTTTATATAATTTGCTGGTGTATTTCAAGGTTTGCTAAGCAAAGGAAAATTAAAACTGATATCAATTAGCTACTCGAACAACGCTTAGCAGGTGAAAGCACGAAGATTTGATAAAACTGAATTGAAAAAAATATATATATTCCTTTCTAAAAAGTCATTAAGGTTAAAAAAGCGTACAGAACAACAGCAAAAATATCTAATTAGTTTATTCTTTTATATCCCTCACACAGCTTTCTTTGTTTGAGCTTAAACAACCATTTCTCTCTCATTTTGCCGTGCTTTGTGTTCGACACTTCGCTGTTTCCTCTTCCTGACCTGTCTGCCAAATGCTGGTTCCCCGGGAAAGAAAAAAGAAGAAACAAGAGTAAAAGAAATCAAATAAGGTAAAAAGGTAGCGCAGTAAGGGAACTATGTTGGAAGCTATTTAGCTGCAGTCAACTGCGACCTTCTGCATGACTTCAGGCGAAGGCTCACTGTTTTCGCCAATTTCCATCTGGCTTTTACGAGGTCGTTTACCGGTAAAGGGAACTACACATGTTGCTTCCTCTAAAAAGCTACCTTTATCGAAATCAACTCGTTTGTTATTCCTTCTCAAACTTTATACTAGAAAACTCTGCGCGTCAAGACTTCTGTCTCTACCACAATATTTTAATTTTAAAGAAATTTTTTTAAAGTATTTACCAATCCTTTACAGTTTGTGTAAATTTTTTGTGTCGGTCTATTGTAGCTTAGGCCAAATCTTAACCCTCTGGTAAAACTTGCTTATATTGAACTCCACTCAAAAATGATACTGACTGTGATCTTCTTTTAATAGATTATAGATATCTGCTACACAACATCGAGAAGGGCTGCGAAATCAGTCGCTTTCTTATGCCGCTCTCAAGCCTTTTAAATTGCAGTTCACTTCGTCTACTATTAAAAAAAGAACGGCCACGTTTTATTAAAACATCTACAAATACTAAAGCTCAAAATGATATTTAAAAAAGTTATGTTGCGAACTTTCTAAAAAATAAGTTAAATAAAATTAGAACTGATTTTTCAACAGTAAAATACGAATTCTCTGCACAAGATAGGAAAATAAGTACAACGACTATAACTGAACGAGAATCAAGGCAGTAAAAAAGTGAAAAACTCGAGAAACTGGAGTTATAATTTAAAGGAAATCATCAAAGAGATGAACAACGAAGAATACTTACCGATAAATAAACATCTGCATTTTAAGGTATATTTGTTGGTTTATTAATTTCAGCGGGATTAGATAAAGTAAATTGATAAATCGTAGTCGCTTAATTGTAGGTCTAAAATAACAACAATGTTCAGATGTAATCGTTCTCGCTTTAAAATTTAAATTCTTCTTAACCTTGTTGTTCTTCAGTTTTATACGTCTGAATTGATTTAATGCAATTTTTAAAGGCAATTTAATTTCAATTTTTTATAGGTGAGAAATTTCAAAACAATTTTAGTTTAATTATGTAATACAAGCTTAATCGAGCAGAAGAAGTGACAACTCGTTTATTTTACTAATCAGCATTATTTATGTTGTAACCCTATAATAGAGGCAGCGCAAAACATCTGATCAAATTTGTAAAATCAATGTAAGACCTGTCATCTCTCTGTAAGCAAAATATAGTTTCCCGTTTTTAAAGAACAAAACTTTATTCACTCAATCAGTATGATTAAATTTAATATGAAAGCAGTTATTATCAAATTGTAGTACTGCTTCGTTGATTTTGAAAATAAAAATTGGAAGTGTTAAATTTGCTGCTGCATTTGCCACATTTTTTCTGTACAGTTTAAGAAAGTAAGATAAAATTGGGAAGACAGAGAGCTGTTTTTAGGTGTTTAGTAAAATCTTTTAATTACTGCTGTTGCACCGTTTATTTATATGGCTACTTTTATCACTCGTGACTTGGAAGGACGTCGGTTAGAAGTAAATTGTTCATCATACTACAGCCAAAACAGTGATTTAATTTTTCATCGAAACAAAAAACTGTAGATATCAGACATAAACTCTAACCGCCGCATAAGTTTTTAGAATTGTGAAAAAAACAAACAAACAAACAAACAAACAACAGGCTCCTGAAATTGATTGAACAGTTTAATAATAGCTGTTATTTACACTTTACAGCTAACATTCCCAGCAAAATCACAAACTTTGTACAGAGGACTGAAATGAAGACCAGGCGGGCAAGATAGCAGGTAGGACTGTCCGAACGTACACTGGTAAAATCTGTTACAGTTGGTCGGATCAGCGTAAAGACCGTCTCCGGGGCAAGTAAATACTCCCGGTGCAGCAGTAGATGACGTCTGAGGCGGAGCAACAGTTGTGGCAGTTACTGCTGGAACCGTCGGCCGAGAAGTAGAAGGAGCAACTGTTGGTACCGGAGAGGGCAACTAAATTTGTTAGAAAATTTTTATTTCTTTCTCTTTTCTTTTTCACAAATTACTGGCAAAGATAAACTTTTAAGTAAC